GGAACCCGAAATCGTGCTGAAACCACACGTTTCCTAGGATTCACACAAAACGTAGCACTTGTTTTTCCTACCGAAAACAACCTTAAAATCTGCTTAAATCTGTAGCGAAAACACAACTTCACCAAAAAATCACCGACAAAAAACCATGCGGCGGGATGTTTGACTGTACTCGGTGTGTTGTAACACATGGACCCTTAGGCAGCCGTCCTTTCCTTACAGTGGGGGAGACACAGTTTGTAAATGTCGTTCCGTCTGTTCATGCTGTACCCGCAAGTGCGAATTCTTTAAACAGGGCTGGGGGATTTACATCCTGGTCCTCCCTCAGGTAAACTCGATCCAGGCGACCCATATTGGTCTCGCAATCCTAGTGTCTGTTCAAGCACACATGCGGTACTCAGCGTCCGAATTCGGGGGATGAAGGCACCAGTTTCAATCCATTCCGTGTATTTCTGTGGGGGAAACCCAGCAAGCTTTTCCTTCTACCCTTTCATATCCGCCCGGAGCAAGGGAGGGGACACAGCAGCCTTCATTATGTTGGTCGGAGCCTTACTTGCTTGTGGTCTGTTGTACTTGATGGCATCGTCCCTTACCTTTACCAGCTCCGGGGGATTTTTACTTTCCGTGCTTGTCCAGCCGAGCCTTCTTCGATCAAAAAGACACCCGATGGACTGCGGGTGCGCGCTCGCGCGCAGGGCACAGGGGGGACCGCCCTGTGTCCTTTTCCCCGTCGAGAGAGAGAGAAAGAGAGTTAGACAATGCCTAAAGGGGGAATCAGACACCCCGAGAACCGGGGGTGCTGCTCCTGCCCTGGTAGAGAGAGAGAGGGAGAGAGAGAGGGGTGTGGGGACTGCCCATTCCCCATCCCCAAAGCAAAGCAAAGCGAGAGAGAGATAGGGGGGGCCTACATCCCAGTATGGCCTGAGGGTCAGCGAGCTGACCCCTACCCCCTGCAGAAAGAAAAAAAGAGAGATAGAGAGAGCAAGAGAGAGAGAGAGAGAGGGGCAGCCGCCTTGAGTTAGGTGAAGTTGTTCTTGCAACACCGGCACCTTCACCAACCTTGCTTCCACGGGGGGGATCCACCCGTCTTAGTTGCCTGCATGGTTCTTGTTACTAGTGTTGCTGCTTCCAAATGTGGACCCCCACGAAACTAACCCAACTAGCGGGCCTGGCACTTACTGTGTTGAGGGGGAAAGTCAGCAAACCATAGTGTACTGCAGGGGGAAATCTGCTGTCGAGGGACTAAGGATTGGCCATAGAGGGCACGGGGATGAGGCCGGCATGCAGGCTAAAGTACAGGGTCAGGGTTGGGTCCACGACAGTAGCATTCCTACCTTGCGCTTCAACCGGCAAAGGAAACACTCCTCCCAATGACCCCCAAGCCTTTGCCTTCATAATGCAAAGAGGGTGGGGGGTGCCTAACGGCTCGGGTCTGCGAACCAGACGTGCGCCCAAAGGAAGGAAGGAAGGAAGGAAGGAAGGAAGGAAGGAAGGAAGGAAGGAAGGAAGGGGCAGCCGTCGCTAGCAGTGCTGGGGCACCTACCGCATCGCCGGAAGAAGACCAGCTGAGCCGGGGTTCCGGGTGGAGTGGAAGGTCGCAGGAAGTGGGACGCGGGGATCAGGCTTGAGTTCGGGATCCTGCGAAGGCAGGTAAGGTGGGGTAAAAAAGTAGCAGCGGGACCTGATGAGCCTCCTTTGTTGGCTGTTACCTGTAGCCTGTCAATATGTCGGGAAACCACGGCCGCCGAGAGACTAGCGTGGGCACTCGCCATTAATGTGTTACGGGGTGCTCGCTGTTGAGGAAGCTCAGCCTGCCCTGCCTCCACCGGGGCAGACCACAGTTCACCCATTGTTCACCACTCAGTCTGATCCATGTGACCGCCGTACAGCTGAGCCCCTCCCGTCAAGAGGGTGGGACGGGAAGCGCCTAGAGCGCGGGGGGTCAGGACTGCTGGCGCTTCAAGCCCCAAGCAAAGCAAAGCAAAGAGAGAGAGGGAGAGAGAGTACGGTGACACGTCCCCATGCCCGGGAGAGAGAGAGAGAGAGAGAGGGGTGAAATGTTTACTGTGTCATGTTGCCGTTTTACGACATGGCAAGGGGGAGGCTACATTCCTTCGTACAGCTGAGCCCCCTATCGCACAGTGATGGGGGGAATGCAAAGACACCTGTGGACCGCAGGTGCGCGCCCGCGCGCGGAGGGTTGGGGACAGACTTACCCCAGCTCTCCCCACCTGGTAGAGAGAGAGAGAGAGAGAGTGCTGTTGCATGGATAAATGCTGTGCCAGCGCGAAGCTTCTTCCATCTTTCCTTCTCCCATGTCAGGAGGCGAAAGAGCGCCGTGAACACTGGCAAAAGCGGTTGAAATGCTCGAAAGATGCCTTCCGAGGCCACTGCGTGAAGTGGAGCCCTTAGAGCGGCGGAATGTTGCAATGCGGCACTGCCTTTGCAGCAAGCTTCTGCAACTGAGTCCAGGACCGGAGTGTATGCCTCCTCGCTGCACCTGGCATGCTTGGCGTTCCTGCTTTTTCAGTGACTCTGGTCGACAAGCTGCCGTCGTGCAACTGAGAGTGTGTAAGCGCAAAGCTACACTTTTTTTCCACAACTTCCTACGAACCATAAACCCGGGTCGGGTCAGGGACAGGGCCTCTGTGAGGGTTGAAATGAGGCTCGCACCCTGGATTCGACTCGACGCCGTATTCTGGACTCCCTGGTGCCCAGGGCGAAGGCTGCGGCGAAAATGGCGCCCTAGTGGCCTGTAGTGCACTCTTGGGCCAGCAGGTCGGCGACGTGTACTCCTGGGATCCGAAGTCCTGACGAAGGCAAAGCAGGTAGGCGTTTCACATCTGTTTCACTTCCGCGCAAGCAAGAAAACGGGCATGAATGCAAAAGCTCCAATCCAGGCAAGTTTCGGCAAGTGGGGTCTTTGCGAGTGAGGCTCGGAGGAAGCTGAAAGCGCCGGTGTCAAGGTACGAGCCGGGCCCCCTTTTCGTGGGAGTTCTACCTTCATACGTTTCGGGCTACATCGGGTGGCGTGCACGCCGTAAGCCCGAAACAAGTGCACCATTCCGTGACGAAACCGAGGCTTCGAGTCTTCTGGCGGCGACTTGATGAAGATAACAGCGGGCAAGCATCCGTCGAGGAGTTTGGGCAGCTGCCTTGGTGCACTGGGTCCCGCGCACCAGAGTGCCAGACTGCTTGAAAGAGCTCTGTAGCCCTCTAAGCAGGCGGCTCATGTACAAGATCGAACTTAGCCAGTGGCTGGGCCCTCTGAGCCTTTGAAGTGCCGTGTTGTGACACGGCACGCATGTCTTTCCTCAACGAGGCCGGATCTGACCGATGATGAAATTTGGCGAGTGGCCCTTCACCCGAGCATCTGTTGCTCCCTTTGATCGCTCAGCACAGCTGGCCGCAGCTGGCCCAGGTTGGCGTGCTGAACCAGGCAGCTCACAAGTGGCACCGTGCGGGTGGCAATTGGTGCTCCTGCTCCAGCCCTGTTCCAATCGGTCGTGAAATGCGCAAGCTGTTAAGGTTCAAGATCTTCAACCAGATCGATGCAGATGGAAGTGGCAATCTTTCTTTCGATGAACTGGTGCAGTGTGTCGAAACCTTGACAAAATTGCCATAAGTCACCAAGAGTCAATGCAAGCTGGACAATGCCAAGAGGTCCGTGGAACCTATCCTTGCCTGAGAGTACCGACCCGTGATGTGAAAGAGCGCGAGCTGCTTGATTCTCAGAGCACAGCTAGAATGTGTACAAGCAAAGCGCCGTATGTCCATTCTCGCTGGCTTTTGCTAAGGCAGGGACTTTGGAAGGCACACGAAGCAAAAACGCTTGGCTGGAGGGAGGAAGTGCTGTTCAGGCCTTGGACGACACGGGCAGCATCGAGGTCCCTGTGCACCGGTTCATGGCACGGGCCTTCGCTCCAAGTCTTCGTCGATATGCCGAGTCGACATCTCGAAGATGGAGCTTTGGCAACAGGTATTCATGCGGAGATGGAGCGTCTTGAGCTAAGATAAGCTGAGCATGTTCTGTCGCTGTTGAGGGCTTCATGTCCTATCTCCATCCCTGTTTGGCAGGCCGATGCAAGCTTTAAAGAGCAGAAGCAAAAAACCCCGGCCAAGTCGTCGCCGGGCCCTTTGCTCGACAAACTGTTCTTGGAGAGCTTCTTAGCCAAAGCTGAGGTTGCCGCCCGTGTCCGAGCGGTCTGGCGCGGAGGTGCGCGGGGTGGCTCAGGCCCTGGAGCCCGAAGCTCAGTGGGAAACCCGGAGAGAGAAAAGGCAACGCAGGAGCTAGGTAGGTTCCGACTCACCGAGCCTAGCCACCAGAACTATCTGCAACCGCAACGATATTTCCTCCTCGAGGCAGTTCGTTTCCAAGTCCGTGGAGTGCAAGGGTTTCTGTGGTTGATCACGCCCATTATGGCCAGGCGAGCTTTGTCATCGTACTACATCGACAAGGGCTACCTCAGTGTCGCCAGTGCGTGCCAGGAGCCCAGTGCGTCTGCAACCGGCTCAGAGCATGGGCGCATCTGTCAAGCAAGGTGAGGCGGCAGCGTGGCAGGGTGGTGCCAAAGTCAATGCTCCAGCCCTGGATTTCAATGGGATGGCTCGGACAGCCTGATATGCCACTGGCGTGAGCGACTCGTATCCGTGAGGGAGAGGGCGTGGCGCGAGAGCAAAGCGATCGGGCTCGCACCTGCTCGCACGCGAAGGAAGAAGGGAGCGAGGGATGGAGGGAAGCTTTCGGGGCTCATCTGAACTAACTGAACTATGTAAGGGGGGGAGGTCATGACCCCACCTTACGCCTTCCAAAACAAGAAGCGCAGCAGAGAGAGCAAGAGAGAGATCTCACACCCCCTCCGCAAGCCCAACAAACACTGAGGGGCCGTAGTGCCCCCTTGACCCTGTGGAAGAAGAGATCTGGATTCCTTCTGAGTCTTTGCGGGAGCAGGCGAGGGACTTTCCCGGGGAACCCTAGCCGCCTCTCACCCTGACGGGCCGCCGGAGTCATCCAGGTCTCTCTGTGGGTCTCGTCGCCTCCCTGCATGCTGATTTTCAATTGCTGATTCCAAGACAACTTCTAGCCAAAGAACCGGAGTTACCGCAGTTTTTTGAGCCATATTCATGGTGGGGCTTCCTTACCACATTCGCCTCACCATAGTTGTTCGGGCACAGCAGCTTTAACGGAGGCAGACCAACAAGCACCGGAAAGGGGCCATTTTGGCGCCTTCATCGTAGCCGTCAAGGACATGGAGATCGAACTGTGGGAACTCTGCCCTCTGCTTCTCGCCAAGCTAGTTCGGGGCGCGGGCACCTTGAGCCATAAAGTCCGGGGACAGTGGGCGCTCTTGCAAAGAACAAGAGGATTTTTTGCGCGATTCGTTCGTAGCATCGCACCCTCCTCGTTCAAATCATGGCAGGGGAGCGGCCTCTCAAGGCCACCCCCACACTGCACAACCCTAGCTTCTTTTCAAAACCGGCCGCTGTGCCATCCAAAGACTTACTTGTAGCCAATCCTTGCGACCCAGATTGGGAGAACCGCTATTCGGAGGACCCATGTGCTAAGGTGTGCTTGCTGCAAGCACGGTCAGTACCCTGAAAGCCGGTGCTGTAGGCTCGAGGTCAGTTTTCCAGTTCCTGGACCTCGTCGCGCAAAAACAACTGGCTTTCGTGACCGGATGCTGCGAACACCCGCATGTTCATGTGGTTTCGCGAAGCGTGCGGCAAGAATTGGAGTGATGCAAAGGACACCGCTTGCAGCTGGACACGCTTTTTCATGGAGCGCGTGGCTGAGCCACGGCATCCCTAGAGTTCCTTCAAAGGCGGCACAGCTGAGGATGGACAAAGACGGAAGCGGCCGCCTGGCTCGATGCTCGGCCTCAGCGTTCCTGTGGGCTGCTCCAACTGCTTTCCGGGCTGAAAAGAGTGCATGTCTGCGCGATCTCCTTGGTGCAAGCTGAAATAGTTCATGCAATGCTAGCCTTACTCGTAGGGCCTCGTGGCCATGCTTTTTGACCTGTGCCCAGCATGCTGCACTTACTCGGATGACCTGAGAAACACGACGGTCCAGCGAGTGGTGACTGAGAGTCTCACTGAGAGTTCACTGTCCCCCGTCCTGCTGGCCGGCCCTGGCGGCCCAGGCGGCCCTGGCGGCCCTGGCCCTGAGGATGAATTTAAGGACCTGCAAGTGGTGCGTCCTGCACCGCTTGCACGTGATCTTAGCCCTGCGGACGCAGCCCCATCTACCGAGGCACGTTTCCACTTTGATCAGGCAGAGATTCCGGGATTGTTCAATGTGAGCTTGGACTGTCGAGAAGGGCAGCTCCTTGGCTTGGAGTTTGACATGGTTGACTCGGACGTGTGCATCGTGAGTGTTGTGCGCACCTCGGGGCTGGCCGAAGCTCACAACAACAAGGAAGGCCTTCCGGCTAATCGACAAATTCGGCCTTTCGACCAGGTCGTTGCCGTGAACGGCACTTTGGTCCTAAAGTCACAAGATTTGCCGAACCAGCTCCAAATGGCACAGTCCGGCACAGATTCAGTGACGCTCTCTTTCAAGCACCCCGAGAAGTCTGAATTCACGATCGATCGACAGGGATCGCTGCTAGGCATCAAACTCGCTGCAAGCAGGGCCACGCCTTCGATTCTTGTAAAGGAAATAGAAGCTGATGGAGCAATGGGCCGGATGAACAAGGCGGATGGTCGGACATACCTCATGCCGCATGACAGGATCATTGAGGTCAATGGTAAGAACTCCATTTCCGATCGTTCAGCAATGGTACGTTCATTGGCTGAGAATGTGGTGAAGATCACAATTTGCCGGTACTACCTCGCGCAGACGACAAGCTTCGGCACGTGACGACTAGATTGAAACCATATTGCGAAATACTGCATGAAATCGCATGCAAACGTCTCGTTTCACCAATAGGCTTCATCTCAGGCAGAACCGACATCGATCGAGTTTCACGCAGGTTCTGGAAGGAATCACTCTCCGTCGGCGTGCCGGCCAAAGACAGCCGCCCGCAATGTCCGAGCCCTTCTTGAGAAAAGTTGAGAGTGACGTTCTGCGCATGCTTGTGGCGCTGGCCCAGAGACCCTTCGCCTTGATCTCAGTCTTACAGCGAGTTCGTGCGCGCGGTGTTCTCAAAGCTCAAGACCTGGATGGATCCCAAGGTGCGAGCCACCAGAGATGCCATTTAAGCCCATCAGCTTTCGCGAGAACCCCAGAAGGCATCCCGTGACTGCCAGGTCTCCCTCCCGGTTGGAGGAACTGGGCGCAATGTGCAATGTACCCAGAATCACAGAGAGGCTGAAGGTGGAATTGCTGCGCACGCTGAGGTATGCAGCAGCCATTGTTTGCTCTTGGACTCCAGAGACTAGCCTCTTAGTTCCAGCAAGCACCGATGACAGTACTAAGAGCGCAAAAGGCTTGTTCAGCACTTGTGTTCGCCTTCGTGACATGATGAAACTAAGTGCCAGGGATATTTGTACTAGTAGCGTCAGCGTCGTTGTGCTGGAGTACAACACCGAGCATTCGAGCCATGGGAATGAAGAGTTGAAGCCAACGCCGGCCATGCAGGTATCCTGTTCTCCAGGGATTCAGAAGCATGTGCTGCTCAAGGTCCATGCAGTTTGCTTGAACTGGCTTATGTCATATGTCCCTGCAGGGACGCTGTTGCCGAGAATTCCTACACGTGCAATGTGGGGACCCCACCCACCCACCCACAAGAGTGCGACTGGCAACAGACAGGACATAGACAGGACGTGACGTCGACGAACTCGAAAAGAGCGTCAGCTTGCGCTGCCGTGCAAGCATGGAAGGACAACAAACCTGTTTTCCGGTAACATGACTATTTGATGCAGATGCCCAAGCTACGCATGAACTAAACCTGGCATGGTTCGGGAACACAAGGCCAGGTGATGATCCGAAGACCAAGGATCCAAGGATCCTAGTGAAACATGTCGAGTTCCTGCGTCAAGGGCACATGGCTTTCAGGCAGAAACCCCCGTCCCTGTCGGCGAGGCTGTTTTGTCGGGTCGATGGTGAGCTTTGCGGCAGATCGTCGCGTCGCCTCAATCATTGCGCAGCAGGCCTGTTGGGAGCGGGGCTGGAACACTTGGACGGTGAAGGTATATCTATCTATCGGCCTGCTATGTACTGGTCTGTTTATGTAGTCCTTTTGGGATTTTGTGTGCGCAGCAGCCCGGCCCGTGTGGCGAACTTTTGTCTTGCGGTGGTGGTAGTAGTAGCAGTAGCAGTAGCAGCAGTAGCAGCAGTAGCAGTAGCAGTAGCAGTAGCAGTAGCAGTAGCAGTAGCAGTAGCAGTAACAGTAGCAGTAACAGTAGCAGTAGCAGTAGTAGTAGTAGTAGTAGTAGTAGTAGTAGTACTAGTAGTAGTAGTAGTAGTAGTAGTAGTAGTAGTAGGCGTAGGAGTAGGAGTAGGCGTAGGCGT